CGAGGAAAGGCGAAAGCGACGCAGGAGACTTGATCGAGCTAAGAACTAAGATCGAGCTAAAAAAAAAAAAAAAAAAGGCGAATTAAGGATGGGGGAAATGAAACGTGACAAGCAATTTCCGTTGATCCTGTGTCCAGTGGCGGATACAGAAATTATTCATGAGGGGGGGAGGGGCGCTTCCCTACTTCCTTCCCCCCACCCCTCTCCCCCAGCACCACTGCAATTACCTTCCTATCGTCTTTTTCATTTTTAATCCGCAGTAAAACCTGGATATCCATATCACAGGCCCCAACAAAAATTAATTTAGGCAATTTTTAAATTCATAATGCAATTTAAAATAATTTACCAGGCCTGCAATCTATTTTTAAATATGCAATTTGTAAGCATTTAAATATAGCTTGCGAACCTTGTCATAGGGGTGCAGTCGTCCTCCCCCCCCCCCCCCCCCCCCCCCCCCCCCCCCCCCCTGTCATAGGGGGGCAGTCCCCCCCCCCCCCCCCCCCCTTCACCCCCACCCCCCACTCTCCCTGGATCCGCCACTGCTTGTGTCATCCTCATCCTCGGATGCATTCCCCTGCCTTGCATTGTCACGATTTTCGAATCAAAGCGAGAGCTTTGGAACGAGAAGGAAAGAGATCGCTCACTCGAGAGGAATAAATCATCTTTTGCCGTTCAGGTCCGAGGATTCCGACCGTATTTTCCCCAATTTTCTTCGGAATTTCGGTCTTGGGAAAACGTATTTCTCCCCTTTTGAATGGATGGATGGACGTTCCAGAAACCCTTGGGAACATTGAAGAATCCATAGGTTTCGTACTATAACCAGGCAAATAGCTTCGTTTAACCCTAGAAGCGGCAACTGTCGATCGATTGACAGTTTCACCCGTCACAGGGGTTAACCTTGCCGCTTCAAGGGTTAAAGACGTTTGATTCCCCCAAGACGATTATTTACTCGTAACATTTCCCCCATAAATGCACTGCTACTCGCCAGCGCCGCCTGAGAGTGTAAACAGCCATGAATGCGTTCGCATTTTGACGTTTGGAGATCGAGTAGGTTTCTATCATCGTATCCGTCGCAAAATGGCACAAGGACTTTGTTTCTCCCTTGCAGACTCACTCGAACTTCCGTGTCAATTGGCTCAACTAGAATTAGAGTCCGTTGCCACTCTTGCTACACGGTTCGGCACGCGAAGAAATCCTGGTTTCATCTCTCATTCTTTCGAGGGAATCGAGATCTCCACAAGCCCTCGCATCACACGCGAGTCCACGTGAGCAGAGGCATACGACCAGCCCTCGATGCATCATCGTAAAGCCAAGCGTGACGACGGGGCTCCTTGCATCGATTCGAGCGTCGTCACGCATCTTGAACGTCGGGGGTCTCCCGTCGATTAGGACGAGAGGAATGGCGTCGTAGAAATTCCATAGAAACTCGTACAGATCGCGCGAGTTCGACACTCCACACCGAATGCAAATGATGTCGATCTTTTTTTTTTCTTCTTCTGGATGCTGGCGGGTCCATCCTCAAATTTCGTCGGTTCATCGTGGCGAGATGAGGAAGGGTCGTATCGAACTCGGGTCGAACGCCCAAACTTTGGCAGAAGACACTTGCACGATTTTCGAAGTCATAATTCCTAGTAAAAAAGGAAATTCACAAGTAGTTCGTTCGCTGATTCGCTCTAAGCTTCCCCTGTTTGTGTTGAAGCTGTTTCACGAAAGAGGTGAAATTGCAACGTCATTCTCCTATCGATCAAGAAATTCCAATTGTTGGTGAAGAAGGCAGTTTGAAACCTTTCTGATCCAGATATATTTTTTTTTTAGCGCTGGCGAGGTTCAAATTCCTGCAAAAAAGGGGGGTGCGAGAGGAAAGCGCAAGTTCAAATGGTTTATTTTCGTCGCCATGAATGGGAGATTTATTCCGAGCAGAAGAGTATAATGTAATAGTTGCAATGCCCCATCGCAGAGTAAACCGATGTCTATTGTTTACCTTTGGCTTTAATTATTTTTTTTTTTTAGCAAATGTGCAAAAGGTTAGAAAGTTTCCATCCCCATCCCCATACTGCATGACGAAAAAAGGGCCAACAGCTCGAAAACGAGACGTTCGTCCCAGAAAAGCACATCTCCAAATATTAATGCAAGAGATATTCTTGTTGTCAAGATCGGAGATCCATTTCACATCCATTCCCGACATCGATTAGATGAACCGATGGGGGGGGGGGGGGGGGTTTTTTTCCCCCCCCAAATTTTCAGTGGGGGGGGGGGGGGGGGGGGGGGGGGGGGGGGGGTGGAATTATGCGGTCAATATGAGGTAGACGTGAAAAGGAGGTGGATGGCCCGCCCGTGGGTATAATGACATGATAGGGAACTGGGCCAAGCCTGCTCCCCCTTTTGTCATGGGGGGGGGGGGGGGGGGGGGGGGGGATTTTTTTCCCCCTCCAAATTGTCAGCGTGACCTCGAAAAGAAAGGGAAGAGACAAATATTTCCAGAGGAAAAAAAAAAAAAAACATTTTCCTTCCTTCTTTTCTGCTCTTGAGAGCATATTACACACAGCAGACGGTTCCCAGGACTCCCCTCTCGGATTCCTCCAAACATGACGCCTGAAGATATGTTCTTGCATCTGACTTCTGTGCAGTCATGGCTTAACCCTATTTCTAGTCATTACTCATTCTAATATAATCGGTACGAAAAAAAAAGCAGTAGGAATCGGAAAGATGAGTTATCCAAATTTGGAAACCCCCATCGAACTCAGACACATTGCACCTTGCCCACGTGGAACTTTCTCCCTGCTGTTGTCAACAAGATCCACCCGTGTCCTCGGCTGCGCATCACTCGACGCCTGTAGCAGACGACGATGCCAAAAGAGGCAACATGATCTTACACATGGCCGTGAGAGAAGGGTGCAACCCAAGCGCACCGGCAACCCTATCGAATTAAGGGAAACTTACTCTAAATGAAAATCTCGGTTTAATCTGAACACCGTAGCACCGTTGCTCCCCTTCACACGAACGAATTCTCTACAGGGTGAGTCATAATTCTGGAATCGTGCTACAACTAAACCATACCATTAAACCCATCTGGCTTTTCTTCGAATAAAACGTCAACTCAGAAAATTATCTCAAGATGCCGGATGAAGACGTCATGCCACCATTACTCAATGAGAACTTGGTGCCAGAATGGCATCAGCCGGACGGCTCTCCGTCGCATTACAGCGTGACAGCGCGTCCCTGGTTAGATAGCTTCCAAACCGATTGATTGAACCATGGGGACCGGTTGAATGGGCTCCCTCGACCCCTTGACCTGTCTCCTCTGGACTTTCATATTTAGGAACATCTTGAATTTATGATGTACTTCAAAAAGATCCGGGAACATCGACCATTTGAACAGAATCAGTCATGCTAATATATCACCAGGTATCCTGCCAAGTGTTCAAAAGTGAATGGTTAAGGAGACTGCGCAAGTTTACCAGTCAGCTGTACGTATTGAGCATATGTGAACGAAGTTGTAGAAGTGGTCTCGTGGTTCCTGATTTATGACTCACCCTGTAGTCCCCTGGACCATTCTCCCCGTTAATCTGGGTTTGCAAGCAAAAGCGATGGAATGCGATAAAAACAAGTCGGACAAGCCCAGTCCAGTAGTGGGCCTCCTTTCAGTTAAGGAAACCCTCATTTTGTCACCTAATTGAACAAAATGCCATCTCTTTCCGGTCTTCAACCATCAAAAACCTAATTTCTCATTTAAATGTGGTAAACATTGACAAACGGTGCCCATGAAACGATGATGGGAGGATGGAGGGCAGTGCGTGCTTTGGTTCCATCCGCCACTAAGATTGGTGGGGAACAGCTCTCGTTGCTAACACGGCGCTGCGCTCAAAGCCTGGGCCGTAAGCGCATGCGCATTGTGGTCCAGGACCTGAAGGGCACACGGGTTACTCATGCCTTCCCTTCCGTGACCAAATTTCAAATCCAAAATTTGCAATAAAAATGCCAATTTTGGTGCTAATTCGTCACAAAACGAACTCAGCCTGTATCTTGTTCATATCTGTCCGCTTGCCAATTTTTGCATTGATCAGACCAATATTTTTTTAGTTAGCGTCGGACAGTGTGACACACGGACACAGGACGAGACCATAAGTGGTCTCCTTTTCCTTTCAGGAAAGGAGGCCCACTAAAAGAGTGTTTCTCATTCCCTTTCCCGCAACTCTTCTTAGCTGCACTCCAGGAATTAATAATAAAAATATCTCATTTCCTTTGATCTCCACCCTTTCCTGGAATCGGATAACGAGGATATTTATCTTCATCGAGGCTTTCACTCTTCGCTGTCGAGTCATCTCCCTCTTCCCATGCCAGTCATCAGTCATGAATTTACCTCCAGCTCATCACCAGTTTGCGTTCTTGGCGTGATTTGACACGCGAAATATTGTATGCTTTTGTATGAATCATGGAGTTGAAGAATTCGGAATTCCTTCGATGCGATTGCGTGAAAGAACCGAGCCAAATAATCCCATTCTCATGGGTAAAAAAACTAATTAAATGAAGGCACTTACAGTTCTTTGGGAGTGCAGTTTTCTCGCCAAGATGAAAAAAAAGGGCGGTACTGGGCAGTGGCGTAGCGAGGGGGGGGCTTCAGCCCCCCCAACGTTTCGTTCAGCCCTCCATTGACGAAAACCTGGCTACGCCACTGGTACTGGGTCGGGTTTTCAATATTCCAGATAGAATCGCCAGTCCCCTGATTGACGACAGTTAACTGCTTTGGCGGCATGAACTGATGTGTGTACCCTAGACACTGATGAATTAAATGACGAGTTCGATCCTCGAACACAAGAAGTTGAAACATCAAATCCTGTCACCCAAAGCACTCATGATTATTATTATTATTATTATTGATTGCTGAAGGCGCTCTGGCTTTCACCCCCAGCCAAAGCAGTTTCGTTGTTTTCATATGTTCCAAAGAAAGTCTTGTCTCTGCGGATGAATTTCTCAGATGCCAGAAAGAAAACAGGTGAAATAGCCTGCCAAAATTTCCTTCATTGACGGAAGCACAAAGAGAGATGTCTTACATACGGAGAATATTACTCAACTAGACTTTGTGTGTCACTGATTGCTTCAACCAACACAATGGATGGAAGATCCCATCATCCAGGGGCAAGCAAATATGAAATGTGATGTTTAGATCTGCTGGCCCTAGTTTAACAGCACAAACACTGAAATTTGAAAGACAAGACCTCCTCCATTTCGCTTCTTCCAGTGAACAGGAAATGCAATGTGGCAACACATGACTAATGGAACGTTCATTCAATAAATCCTGCAGTGTCAAATATCCTACCATAAGCTGTCTTGCTTCGAGATGAGAAGACAGAAAAGTGTAAAATGTCACACTAGGTGGGACGATATCATGCTCTTGACAGAAGCCATAGATCACAAGCCTGATGTTTTCCTCTTTCCTTCTCTCTTCTGTCTTCTCTGGGGATCTTGAAAATAGAGATCAACCTAAATTGGTTCTCAATCACACAGAAATTTCTTTCCTCATCGCTTGAACCAAGATTGAGTGTTGCTCTCCAATATCTTCTCCATGATTCTAAGACAACGGTATCACAAAAGACGGCACAGACACATGCATCCAGGAAGATCCCCTTCACAGACACATGGAGATGAACCTATCACAGATCCCCACTCCTGTGGTCAAAAAAGGTGAATGGAGTCCACTGCAGATGTTGAAGGTGACTGTAAGAGTGTTCACGTGGGCCAAATTCTTGTCCAGCCGCATATGCTTCTAGTCACCGGGATAGGGAATGGGACCGACTCTCCCTCTGTGCATCACCTTCACAATTAAATCGCTTTCTATCTTCTCCCAGTCTCTTCTCAGGTAGGATCTTGTCAAAGAATGGGTGCTTCAGAGCATCACCCAATGAAAGGCGGGTCTGAGGATCGTAGTCCAGCATTCGGGAAATCAGATCAAACAACTGATTTGTGTCATCGTCATCATTCAGCTGGTACTTCTGTGGGAGACAAGAGGATATCACTTCAACTGGTTTTCCTTGCAACCTTATACTAGCAACAAGCTTGGAGGGGAGGGAAGTGGCACTAATTCTTCGTGAAAGTGTTTTAAATTTAAATTAAATAAGGTTGAAAATAACAATAGGAAAGAGGGAAGTCTACCAGCAACCCTTAAATCAGTACACTATCACATATGTAGCCATAAGATATGGATTCACCTTGTTACAGTCCTTCTCCCTCATTGCTTATTAGAGTATTAAGAGACATTTAAAATAACACCTGATGACATCTGATAGTCTGTTTTAACAGGGGGTTCAGAGCAATATCTAGAAAGATACAAAGGATACAGAGAAGCTCTGCTAAGGTTAGGGACCTGGAAGTTGCAAACCAAGACAGGAGCAGGAGGGATCTCTGTTAGCCCTTGGTGTGAGGAGACTGAACTGCTCATTTTATCTGAATGAGAGGGATATGAAGATTTGAGGGGAAAATACCCTTTAATTTGGAACCATGATGATGAATGCAACAACGCGACTACAAACAACTGTGCTACACCATGGAGAAGGAAGGACAGTTGGTGTGCCATTTGTGGGAAATTTGGAGGAAGAGAGAAGAAAAACTGATGAGTGAGAAAGAAACAAGAAACCTAGTGACTCACTGGTTAATTTGAATTAAACATGATAAAACCAATGGAGCTTTGAAGTGCTGTATCATGTGAAAAAGCACAGAAATAAATGTCAATGTCAATGTTTTAATAGAACTAGCTGATGTCAACTCAAAAAATGTATCCCACAGCAGCACAATACAGGGTAGCATTAAGATATGCTTTCTTCTGTTTGTTTTCAAGTTTCCATAACAAATGGAAACTTGAAAACAAACACAATGTCACATCTTGCCTTTGAAATGGGTGCAGCTGTTGCCGGTAGTAAAATTTGCTAAATTATAAATTTTCTGGAGGAAATGTGAATAAAGCTTGGACATACCCTGAGTGGCTTGCAGTTGTCTCGGACATAGCGAGCTCCACTTGATCGTTCGTCAAAATCCAGTTTCCCATGATGGAAGTACTTAGTGCGGGTCTTCTTTGCTGCCCTGGAAGAAATTCTAAAAGAAAGCACCAATTACAACTTATGTAGTATCCTTCTAAATGACCCAACTCTCACAATATGCAACCCACAACCCTCAATGTACTTCTAGGGGGAAAAATATGACATTCTTTGGGCAGGAAATTCATAGAAAATCACACATGATCTTCAATGGGGGAAAAATCAGGCTTTGTTCAATGATTCTTGGTGAAGAGTGTCATGCAATCACCAAAATAGCATAATTCAATTTGATTCCATGAACTACAATGCTGGCATAGGCTGTTAGAGCACAGGGTCATAGAGGTGTTCATAGATGCAGGTAACATGCTGTTACAAGAGATTTACCAACAGAAAAGTCCACAGAGCTGACAAAGATTTCCTTCAGTTAAAGGTAAGACAAGCATGTGAACTAGAACAGTTAGTTGCAGTGGCAATCAATAATCTCAATAGACACAGAAGCACAAGGACACTCACAACAGGTCAGTATGTTATAAAATGAGGGGGAGTAAATCCAACATTTCAGAAGCATAATGCCAAAGCTAAGTAGAGACAATAGACAATGTCCATGTTCTTTCTAAAATTAACTTCTACTCCAATCATGGCAGTAATCACCAGGAATTCAATAATTGTATACATGCAAAAGCTAAGTGGGGCAAGTAAGGTAGCACAAACTTTTTAAAAAGAAATTTGGGAAGGTTTTTTCTGTCAACTGAACATCTCTACAGGATCAAGGGCACAACAAAGTGTTGAAACAGACTGATAGATTGTGAAGTACAGAACTGCATATATTCCATAATGATACTGGCTTTCCATCCAAGGAAGAGGAACTTGACATGAAGGGCTAACCTTTTAGACGCACACATTCGGTATTTATTCGATAGCAATATTACATTACATTAACAAGTTGATAAAGATGTGAAAGCCTTCCTTTCCTTAAATAATTCCAAGGAATAACCTATTTACCCTCTCCCTGTAAATACCAGAACCTGGATGGTCACTTGCTGCACCTCTTCATTCCCAAAGAATCTCTTCAAAATACTTTGTCTAATTACTATCACATTTCATGATAATACACAGATTATCAGACTACAAGTTTTAGTTGCACCCCAGACAAATGGCTAAATTTTGTATCAGAGTCATTGGACCCAGATTTGTAGTTACAGGATGCTGGATATCTCCTTGGAATCTTCCTGGGTATGATTTAATTAGGGAATAAAAATGACCTAAATAATCTGCAGAAATGTCTGCTTTTCAACAGGCACTTCATTGCTTCTGATTGCTTGGAATGAGAAGATTATGACTGAAAATAAAGAACAACTCACCTGTAGGGAATGGGACCAAGGATGTGTTCCATCATGGCAAGATGCTCTCGGTTGTCATGGGTCTGGAAGAGTGTGATCCCCAGATACAACTCAAAGAGGATGCACCCCACACTCCACACATCACAGGGTTGGGACCATCCAAGCTCTTTTCAAACACAAGAGGAAATGTGGAACCTTCAACTACTTTGCTCCTTGGTTAAACCCTTTCCCATGAGGAAACTAGAGACCCATAAGAGGTGGCATCAAAATGCTGAACAAAACAGACAATTCAAAAGTAAATTTGTTAAGCTTCTTGTCACCAGAATAAAAACTTCTGGGTCTTTCCTAATAATGCATCAGCTTCAGTACAACTTGTTGTATACAGAACTTAAAACACAATACACCAAGCAAGATAAATTTGCAAGACTTAAAGTGTGAATGAACTGACCCAGGAGGACTTCTGGGGATCGGTAATGCCTTGTGGATACAACAGTGCTGTGGTGCTCATGATCAAATGTTGCACTGCCAAAGTCAATGAGCTTCACATCTGTATTCTTCACACGACGGTATTCTCTCTTCTATTAGGAATATGATAAATAAAAAATACAAACATTCAGCATGTCTCTTTACAAAGATCTTCCATGAAATTGCTACATGACAAAATTCAAAATAAGCTAAAAGCTTAATTTGCATCAAATGAATCAAATCACCTTCTTAGAGCTGTAGGAGATCTCATAGTCAGAATCTACAAATAAGATGTTCTCTGGCTTCAAGTCAGTGTGGGTGAGCTTATTGTCGTGAAGAAACTTGACAGCATAGCATAACTGGTAACTGATATGCCTCACTTGTTCCATTGGGTATGGTTGATACTGGTTGTCTTTCTGTGAGAAAAAATATTTATAACAAAATGTATTGTTTTTCCACACTTTCATAAGTAAGATAAAAGACTTATTGAACTTACCAAGAAATCAAAGACAGAGAGGCCAAGAATCTCAAAGACAAGGCACATGTGCCCATGGTAATCAAACCATCCCAGCATCTTCACACACAGACTGAAAAAAAATTGTCCAGTTGAAACAGTTCTTTCCACTTTTGCATCTGTTTAAAGTAACTCATAGTGGACCTATTATTTTTTAGTTATAATCAGTGTGCACAATTAGACCCATATAAACACTGCCTGCACAATGCGTGAAAGGTAAGCAGTGACTTCTACCTTCCTGACATTTTTCCTAATTTGACAGGACCATTTGACAACTGTATTTTGGCACATGCTTATGGAAGATGATTTGAAAGGATGGTTGTCTTTTGAAGAGTGCAAGGTGGTGCTGCTCCATGTAACAAAATGGGTTCCTGAAACTCAGGCAATTTTATACATCTTTTAAACACTTTTAGGCCTGGGCACTTAAAAATGGCTCTCATCATCAGGAGCTGGGTTTTTTTTAATTAAAATTAATGAATTTTTACCCACACTAATAAATTCTCATTTTTCATGGACCATTTTTCAATTAGCAGGTCCTTCCTTCTCCTTTAACATAGTACAGGTATACCTGACTATAGTCGTTTGGTTATATTGTGGATAACAATTAATAAAGTATTTTGATTCAAGGAATGCTTTTGAATCTGGAAAAAAAAGTCATGCTACTTCTTTCTGTCCTGGAAACAAACATGTATAACTACAAGTCCTAAACATGTCACATTACATCAATATGATCAACCTTGAAAAATAATGACTATTAGCATAATTTTTGCAATATCTGTCATAAAACACATTTGCTAGTTTTTCAAGTGTAGTTTGTGCATAGACATGGGCCTCAATGTGTTAACAGGTGTTGGGCACTGCATGAAACACTATACAGCATTTCCACTTGCAATTAACAGCATTTCCACTTGCAATTAAGAGAATGAAGGGATTGAATCAAAGCAAATATAATATCACTTAATACTATCTTTGTTTGCTGTAATTTTAGCTCTAACACACTTCTTTATTTATATGATGAATGCAAATGCAGGGTAATGTTCTGTGTAGGAGTTGGTTTCAATAAACACAAACTTACTGTGATTTTCAGCAATTATTGTTTTGAAGCCTGGCTCAAGTGCCAAAATGCATGGGCCAATATGAATGGTCACTAGGTTTGACATTACTAAGCTGATGCTACTCAGCTTAAAAGCTGGCAAAGTCTTAGCTCATTTTGTTCTCTTACTCTGATGCAGAAGACAAGGTTCATAAACACAATTTATCGCTCAACATTCAAGTATGGTAGGAATGAAGATGAAAAAGTAAAGTGCATGTTGGGTGTATGTTCTTGAATCACTTGTTACCCAATCTTTTGGAGACCCAATTTGACTCTAAGCAAATTGTCCAAGCTGGGGGAAACCAAATGATTGTACTGGATCAATGAAACATTTATAGTTATTTATAACAGTGATCCACTTTGAATGTTGAGTGGTGTAAATAGTAGGCGTGATAGAGAAAACAAATGTACAAGGAATGATGTGACTCACTGATTTCCTTCAGGATCTTTCTTGGTAAGAGTTTCTAGGACATTGATCTCAAGTTTGGCAGCTTCACGATACTTCTCCACATTTTTTATGATCTTGATCGCCACAACCCTGTCCCTGCAGTGGATTCCATACTTATATGTAGGTTGATGCTCGGCCAAATTCCCCATAAAACAATGAAATACATTTGTACTATGGTACTGATCCAGTACTTCCTCCTGTGGTAATACAGGAGATTTCTCTCACAATCTTCAATACACTGATACTGAATTATACTGGGGCTCAGCTGATCCTCACCTCTTCCAAGGCATTTAACCCTTTGACTGCCAAGCCCAAATATGCTCATTTTCAAACTTTGATCCCCCAGGTGCCAGGCCTGATTATACTCATGTAGGTTGAAAGTGGTATGTAGGTAGTGACAATTTTTCAGAACAAAAAGGGTTTAATTTAAAACCATAAAAGGCCACAATATTCTCAAGGGATTGAAAAAATCCCAACGTGAAGCTGGTGCTGTACTCTTCAAAACTTGGCGGCCAAAGGGTTAATGGCATGAGACTTAAAAGCTTCTCACAAACACATGCAACGATTTGCCACATTAAAAAGTAGTTCTCTTACATGAAATCCATACTATATTAGAATACACTAAGAAGTTTCAAGGTAGGTGTAGCCTCTGGCCTATAAAGCTTTTCCACCTACAAGACATAGGCTTGATAGCCCATAGGCCTATAAGCCTTTGCTTTTCCATCTAAAAGGCTTGATAGCCTGTAGGCCTTCGAGCCTTTTCGCCATCATGATCATAAGCTAGGAGCGTTTCGCGATTCGTCCATGCTGCTGTTCGGCCTACAAGCCTGTGCCTTCCCAGGGCCTAGGCTGGGTTAAACAGTTTCATGTGATGCATGCGCCCGCGTACGAGAAGTGACGAAGCTGTGTACGTCTGGACTGACCGATGAGCAACATGACGATATCGAAGCTGAGAGGAGAGCTGCATTAACTGTACGGCAACACGAGGCTGTTAACGCTGCGCGTGTACGCGTCGAACAATACCAGAGTTGCGTTGGCTAGGACGTCTAATGTCATTCCAGCCGTTTCGCATAATCGCGACTCTTATGAATGTAAAAAGCTCAGCTGAGCACTGCCTGGCTTTTCATTTCGAAGTGGGGAAACTTCATAAGGTTGTCATGTTAATGTTACAATGTTCCATTCGAACCCATTGGAGTTTCCGCCAGAGTTGAAAACGCTGATGGGGAAGATGAAAATGTTCGCAATATTCGCGAGTTTTACAGACAGTACAAGAGCGCAAACGCTTCCTTTTGGTGCAACGATTGTTGACTTTACCGATAATGATTCTTACTGCTTCAAAACATCCGGCGAGGTCTATCATTTGACTATGACCTGTCTATATCCATTTGGCAGTGTTGTTCCTCTGCTAAATCAGTCAGTAACTAGCGTATGCTCAACTCTGTTTACGATACGGATAAAGTGGTTCGAATGCAGCGGCACATGATAATTCGGAACGAGAAGTGCGTCGCTATTATCGAAAGAACAGGTAGCACTGAGAAACAATTCCTTTAAACTACACGAATTCACATGCTACATGGAAGTGGACAATGTTTTAAGCATTGCATGCTGACTGATATTTCTGCAGATCTGCTGCCTGGTGGGATGACGAGTCACACAACCTTCGACTTGCCAATGGATCTGCTTACACATGTAACGTGTTGTTCGTCGTGCTAAAAATCAAAGGATGACGTCGGTAGCTGGATTCATCGCCTGAGATTAAGCGTCGATGGCGCCCACTGAAGGGCTGGCAACGCTAGAACGACCTTGGCGAGACTCGATAGACGATGACCGATTCGGTGGGAAAGCTGCTGTGACGGGGTGGTAACATTCGCCAAGTGTTGCCAGGCGTCCCCAAAGCATCTCGCGGTTAAGTCATTGAGACATGCGTTGAAATGAGCCCGTTGTGGCCATCGTTCCGAACGATTCGTTTGACAGAAAACATGCACGCTGCTGCAAACAAAAGCCGATTTACTCGATGTCGGCAGTGAAACATTTCCAAGAGTACAGAGAGATCCATATGAGCTCTTTGTGCGTTTACCAGGCATTGTTTCTCCGATAATATGTGAACGAGCTGTTTGGGCAACTACATAGTCTGCGATGCCGAAGTGAGAAACAAACGCGCTCATTCTGTGTCCCTAGAATTAGCACTCCAGTTTGGTCAATGACGTTTCGTCCCGATCGTAAGGCGAATTGCGGACACATCACAGTATCGACATCGTGAAGAACGATCATGGTGGTGATGACGCCGATCGGCAGGCCAACTTTCCGGCTGAATTCTTTCACAATCTCAATATTCTGTGTCTCTTTCCGCACGCAATGAACCTAAAAATTGGAGCTATCCGGATGCATGTTCGAGTCTCACGATTGGGAACGAGGACACGCCTATGATCGTGAGAGACCTGAATGCAAATGTCTTAATACTAGGGGGTTTCAAATGGAAAGGGCTGAAATGAAAGGGGAGAATTGGCTGTTACTCAGTTTAAGGGTAGGGAACGAAAAGTTCCTATTTCATTTGAACACTCATAGTAGCTGAGGTGATCACGGGTGCGCCTCTTGGCTGCGTTCACTAGCTGCCTAGCGTTTCACTGGACACGTCAACTCAAGTCAGCATAACGTTCCGTCTTTGCCAACATCAATTCCCTATCGAGCTTACGACTATAACCAAATCTCAGGGACAGATATATGACCAAGTCAGATTACTATTTATGGAGCCAGTATCCATGCATGGCATTTGTACATTGCCTACTCGCGAATTTGCTCTGAGTATTCCCTGAAGATTCAGGTTATCAACGGACCGAAGCAGGGCGAAACTGATGCTGGCACCATTACCGACGATGTGGTCTTTGAAGAAGCACTTCTTTGTTTGTGAAATCCGTTCGTCGGGATTATTTTTGTTCATCATGATATAAACTTTTTATTTCGTTCCCACGTTGTCCCGTTTCTTGATATTTCATTGTTCCTTCCATATTTATTTACTTTACCCATGTTGAAATAAATTGAGTATAATTTGCATATATTGGCAGATGTAGGCCACAGTGCCTCAGCATCTCTTTGCTGCATACAGTATATGTTGCATCGTGAACTATAGGGTACATTTTGGCAGCGGGAACCTGGCTAAGACTATTCTTGATTGATGAGCAGTGAGAAAAAAAAGTATACGTAAGGGTAGAAGGCCGCAATTGCGGCCATAGGCCGCTAGTATAATAGAATATTACTGCTAAAAATGTATAGACTGTCAGAAAAGATTCTTTCAAAGATATTAGGGCCACTTTGCTTGGTCATCGGCAATGATGTCAACTTCACTGCGAATGTGCACATCATAGAGGGGTGCAATCTTGAGGTTAAGAGAAAAAAAGTCTCAGGATGACATGTGGGAAATTTTCCCAGCTCCAGAGCATCAACACAAAATGTCAGCATTGTCTAAGATATGAGTATCCGGTGCATACTTCAATGTATACATGCAATAACAATCAATCAAGAAAATTGCACCGTATTAAAATTCAGTTCATGTTTCCCTTCACTTCAACCATTTTTACATTTTTTAAAAATTGTTTGAAGCCAATCAAATGATTCAAATGGATATAAGGTCAAGGGCATTTAAAACTCTTTCAATGACAAGGCTTGCATTCAAAGTATCCTTTCACATGAATACATTGAGTAAATTCAGACACCATTTACTTTGAGACTTGTTTCAAAGAAAAGACTATGATCACTGAATATCAGCAAGGTGCAAAATTTCATTTGAATTCTGCTTCATACCCAAGGCTAATACATCTGGATTGAATTTGCTCACTGTGACCATTATATTTTTTTGGCAATGTTCTCTTTCGACGGAGAAAAAGGGGAGGGGAAAAAAAGCACAGTAACCCTCCCAAAACTTGGGTTTTGTGACTACATTAATTTCAGGTAGATACTCAAATCTGCCCTACAGTGCAGGGAATGTAAGCTGATATCACTGTGCATATCATACTTCTGCAAAACCTTATATCAATAGAACATCCCCTAACCATAACCTTTTTTCATCAGTCAAAATAGGGTTTTGAACCGGAGTGTTTTATATGTTAACACCACTAAATTACAAAAAGTGATCAGGGAGGAAGAAGATTCAGGGGTGTGTTTCCATATTAGCTTTAAGGCTCAATTCATTGCTGATTTGTTGCTTTCCATGCCAATTTACTTTCCACTTCATGTCCAATCCTACTTTTCCAAATTCATACACCAATTTCAAATTCATAACCACAACTGCAAAGAAATGTAAACAGGATGCTTGAGTCATGCTTGAGTTGATGTCCATTCATCTGATCCAACTTTGATGCTTCCAATAACAAAGGTAATAATGTAGCTGCACAAAACTTGCACGGTTTCAGAATTCACACAGGAACAAATAGTTTACTTACGTGTGCAGATCTTTTACCCGAACAACCTTCCCAAAGGTGCCTTCTCCCAGAGTGGCCAAGACCTTGTCTATATGAGGGGGGAAAAAAGGGAACAAATTAACTTTTGTGCTCATATGTCTTCAGCATGCCAGGTCTCCAAGTCTCAGACACTGCCCAACCCCAACTTCTCAAAGATGATTAAAGGAAACATACTCAACTACTTCATAAAGACCTGGTGCTGAAGATGGAGAATTAATTCATATGCCAGCAATTTAAAAAAAAAGAGACCACCATGAATATGAAAAAGACCATAAAGCATGCAATTGTCATCCTGCTCAAGATGGGGGGGAGGGGGTGGTTCAATATTTTGGATTTTAGAGATAAAGATCAGTGATATCTCAGTAATGAGCAAGTGAAGAGAAAAACAGAAATGTAAGATAATAAAAAAAGAGTTCATCATGATATTAAGGACACGAACATCTCTCTTGGAGGACATCCCCGATGCGATAGATCAGGTGACCATCATCGTCGTCCTCGATAGATGGTGCTCTTGAGCTCTGCACGGCACCCACACAGCCAAGGGTGATGATTGTGTCATTTTACATTGAGAGCAACAAGTGGCACCGCATCCAACCACACACAGATAGTGTGTCAAAGCCCCAAAAAAAAGACGCACAGAAAAAAAAGAACACCACAATGGTAGCGAATCTGCCATTCACCTAAAGAATCTTATCCTATTTCAAGGCTTAAGCATTTGATTAGTGCAGATCTGCTTGACAGGCTCTCATGACAAATGAATGACACTACAAAGGAATGTGGACTTTTGATGCAAGAACTCTTGGGCCTATGTGCTATCACATTCCTCTGCTGATCTCATTTATCACCAGAGCAGTCCATTCATAAAAAATAACCCTGAATTGATAGGCATACATCAACATACCAATATCAAGAACCATTAAATTACAAAGGAAAAAAAAAAACAGATCCTTGCAAGCAGGACTTGGGAATTGGGAATGAAATTGGTATTTGCATTTATCAACAAATACATTTTCAAGGAAAGAGATTACAAAAGAAGAATTAGAGTGCATTTTCAATTGAGAGTTCATTAAAAGACCAATTAAGATTTGTATTCCACAAGCCCTATATGCAAGAGGACATGTTCCAATAGTAAAATTTGAATGTTTCCCCACTTCTAAAAGTGATTATTGCTCTCATGCAAATGCAAACAGTTTCCAATCCAAACTAACTTTCCACTCCTTCAGCAAGGAATGGAAAATAGTGAGGATTAGTTGGATGAGTTAAACATTCTGAATTTCTTGAGAGTAAAAATATGCATAAGAATACTCAATGGAAATTAAATTACAGGGATGAATCAGTTATGCAACAGGAATAAATGTGATACAATTTTTAAAAAAGGGAATGGCATTGAGACTTATAAGGTAATGAGAAGTAGTCAGGAAATAGATACTAACATCATCTTAACCTCTTCAGACCCCATGGTTTGTACAAGCCAAATTTCTGACTTTTAAAACCACTGCTCAAATCACTTCTGTTATGAAACATGTAACCAATGGCAGGGATTTGTGAATTACACAATTCTGTACAAATGAACAAGCACACAGTGGTTGCAATCATATAAGTTCTTGTAGATTGCTTAGCATTGGCCCCAAAATTATGATATGCAACACTGCTTTGTCAAATAGTCTAGAAAACCACCTAGATACAGAGGAAAGTTTGACTTCTTACGGTGATCTCATGGGATAGACCTAAATTTAGAAGGTATCTACATATCCCATGAGGCACTCCCCAAGTAAAGGAGTTTGCTCAAAACTGCGATTTTGGCCACAAAACCAAATTCAATTAATCACAAGGCACATGAAGGGGATGTCCTTTGCTGAAGAATAAAATAACCTTTGCATTCAAATTTGAAGAATTAAAAAAAGTTAGGCTAGGTTAGGTTGATTTAGTTTTGAAAGTAAGTGTATTTCTTCAGCTCACTCTCCTGAAACATTGTGGAATGAAAAACAAAGCATCCGACTTAGAAAAAATCCTCCCTACAGCTACCTCAAATAATTGTAAAATATAATTTTTTTAAATACCTTTTTCCCCAAATGATCTTCTATTATGTACTTGCAATTACACTTATTTCACTTAAACTGGTATGAATCATCATTTATTGGAGATGAGGAAAACTGTTATAAGATATTGTCCTTTTGATTTGTGAAAATAATCAAACCTAACATCACCAAAGATTTTTTAACCCTTCAAATTTGAATAAAGACTATGGCCTAAATTCATAAACCTCCTTTAGTCAACAGTCCATTAAAAACACATGGACTTCTATGGAGGAAAAGGAGCTGTTTAGCTTAAAGGCCCCTTTTTGTCCCCTAAATGAGGTTTGTGCATTTTGGCCAATATTTTCCTGTTTCACAAGCTACAAAACTAAATATATATTTTCAAAAGATATACAGGATGTCCCATAAGTCACTACACAATTTTAATCTGCAATACTTTTCAAACTACAAACAAGAATCTGATTATAGTATTGATGAAAAGAACTCTCTTCAGGATTTTTTTCACTATAAAGACAAAGAATCAGACTGAATGACACAGCAGTGCAAATTGCATAGGGGATGAAGAAATATGGGAAGAGGTCTCAGCAAAAAAGATAACATGCAGTTCAGGCTGCTGCTCAGGCACCTCCCTCCTTGGATGCATTAGGGCCATGACTGATTCAATATCTTACTACTTTCTGTAGCATCTGTGATATACTTGAGTGTAATAGCACTATACTCATGAAATTTAATAGCACTATACTCATGAAATATATTGTCAAACCTCATGTTGTATTTTATCTGCTACAATGCCTTGGTATTTTGACACTTTACAATGAATGTCAATATGGCATCAACAATGTTTTTTTCCCACATCTATATAAAAGTATAGCAGCAAGAGGATCAGTACAGGGGATGTGGGTAGAGTTGGCTGTTGATATTGTTGACATTAAGAAAGGAAGATGAGATACTGATGCATAGTGACATCATTAGCATCACTGTTTTGCCTCCATTTCTCACTTATCCTGTCCATGCTTAACAGACATTCAAAAGGACTTATTGTCCCATCCCCTCATTTTTAATTTGGTGATTGACCATTGAAATGTGTTGAAATTCCATTCCCTTCTTTAAAAATCCATGATTCTATGCCTGACATCATCCCCTCTGATATTATTAAGATGATCAACAGGAGAAACATTCATTCCATCAATAGCATCTGCATGAGAATTCTTATTTCTGGTTGACTAGGCCTAAGAGCTTACAACATATGCTTAACTCACAGGAAGACTGAAAATCTGGCTTGGCAAGCAATCCACTCAATCTACAGAGACACAAGGATGTTAGTGTAGCCAAAAACAAGCAAGCAGATAAAACCATCTGCAAGAGATCATTCACTTTGTGGAATGGTAATAGGAAGGAAGAAGGTTAACTTTTGGATCAGTCAGCATTACCTGACTTTTTCAATCTCAGGAATTGATTGCATTCCATTTACATAGAATCACTCCCATTATGCCTAGCCCTTCTAATGACAAGGGATCGATTCTGACTGACATGAGAAATATTTCTACATATTTCAGAAAATTTTCAATGAGATCATGGACTTCAATAATCTGCATGTAACACATGCATTGCCATGTTAAGGAGATCAACACACCAAACAGGGGAAAAGCATGAGAACCGAGCAGGTCAACAAGAATCCTGCAGGAGCCTTCAGGAGCACTCACATCCATAGGTACGCTCGGAATCAAAGGTGGAGGGATGTTCAAGGGGGGTAAGTCAGCAGGCACCTCCTCATCAAACTTCCCTGTGATATAGTGCATGTATTTTGGGGAAAGTTGGTATTCAGACTGAGGTGGAGGTTTCAATTCTGATACTTCAGAGGGCCCTTCAAGTTCTGCTTTATGAATCTTTCCATACAGATACTCCTCCTTCCACTGAGTATATTTATCAATGAGACCTTGTATCTCCTTTCGTGACTTGTCCCGATCAGATTCTTCTGGTTTATCTGCCTGCTTCTGAACTTCTCCATTCATATTGAGACCATGTGTCGCAATCTCATTGCAAGGAGTTTTGCTCCCAGATGATAGGGGACGGGACTTGCTTCTCTGTTTGCGCCTCTTTTCTTTGATTGGTGTTGATCCAGATACTTCAGAAGCGATTGGTTTCAACTTCTCTGATGAGCCACAATTACTCACACTGTTGCCATTCCATTCTGATACTGGAGATACTACAAAATTGGTTTTGCTGGTAACTTCAGAACCATGGCCAAGGCTAGATGAATACCAATTTCTTTGATTATAATACTTCCCAAACCAGCTATCCCCATATCGATCATCAATAGAATATGCACCACGTTGGTGATGGTCCTTCTTTTCATCTTTCAAGCTTTGCTCCTTGGACTCTGCTGGTTTCTGTCTTTCTCTTTCATGATACCATAAACTCAAGTGGTCAGACAAAGCAAAAGTGTTTCGTCGCTTAGGATATCGACTCCCTTCAAATAGGGCATGAAAGTGGTACTGATGGATATCCTTGACAGATTGCTGGGAAAATGATTCGGAATTTTTGCGAGGATAGGACACTTCTTCTGGTCTATGAATAGAAGAAGCAACACCAGTACTACCAGTACTTGGATAGTTCAGTGTTGCCTGGTAATAAGAATTTGGAAAGGAAAGCTGCTTCTGCAGTGTTGGTTTCATATCTATAGGAGCATGATTGCACTTAGCATCGCCAGAAACAGAATCTAGATCACTTGATGCACTCTTGCAGGCTTTACCATATGGATCCTGTTTTTTAGATTTTACTTCCATTACCAAATGGGTGTCCTGGAGAGCATCATGGGATTGGATATCATTCCTTCCATCATATTTATCATAAAACTTGTCATTCTTGGGTCTTCCTTCTGTATTGAAATCATGTCTTTCAGTGAGAACATTGGAATGGTTCTTGCCAATCCCATGAGAATGTATATGTGTGAAGATACTTCCACTGGTTCCTTCTTGATCACAAACATTTGACTTTGATAATCTCTTGGCCTTGGAACCATATGATGAATTGGTTATGCTTTGATCCTCCTCTACCTCATCAAAATTCAGGTCATTCTCTTTATCTTCTTTGAGGGTGAAAAAAGACCCACTCTTGTGTGATGAGAGGTTACCTCGACGATGGTGACCACTGTCACCTGAGGGTACACTGCCACTGCTTAGACTCTTCTGAGCTCCATACTGTGTGTCCTGGTAAGATCGTCCTATTCGGAAATTATCACCGCGCTTGCTATACCAGTCCCAGAAGGAGTATGATCCACCACCAGGATTGGTAGCAGCACTTGCAGTAACCCCTGATACTCCAGTACTGGAACTCACTGAGTTAAGGCTTGTACGACGAGAGGGTGTTGGTGTTGGAGTTGTAGATGGAGTATACCGACTCCTAGAATACTCTGGAGTATAGAGTGGAGAGTAATCAGATGCTGGATAAGCAGTAGGAATGCTGCGGTATGCAGCATCATACTTGGAACTTGAGGAGCTATAGCCAGAACGCAGTGATCCCGAGCGCAATGATGTGAGGGAGGTTGGAAAATGACGGACTGTATAGCCCTTTCCTGCCGAGAGAGTAGTCTCATAACTGGTACTGGGCATCAGAGGATGTGGGGATGAAGTTGTGGCTGAACTGCGAGTTGAACTTGACAACCCCATGCCAGAATTCAATCCTATAGGTTTTGCCCTATAGCTGCTTCCATAGCCTGTATGCCCAAGATATCCATATTCTCCACTCCTCCTACTCTCCATCTCAAGCAAAGTGACTCTATGGTTCTTACACTCTCACATTGTCATTGATCTTAGTTCCTCATGAGGGACAGTTTTCTTTCAGGAAGAAAGATCTGAAAAGCAGAATTCCATGGTCACCTGTATGAGCATTTAAATGGGGCTTATCTCATCAGTACTCACTCTTAGAAAGCATACTTTTTTCTTCTGCAAAGAAGAAATAGGCCTAAAATTCTCCCATTTTTACTCTAGCTGCACTTCAGCTATAGGATGGTTCATGGAGAGCAGCATCTTTAATTACTGCAATATTTTAACAAGTGTTAAGTAGAAATTCCCTAAATCCATAACAACTTTAGCATGCTTGCAATATCAGTGGTGTTGTGAAGACCATAGCACAATGAAATGGAATCCTGTCTTTGAAAAGCACAACATGAAACATGTGGAGAAAAGAATTTTGATGTCGATTTCATCTATGCTATTTGGCACTGGATGCAGCACCAAGGTGGTAAACACTAGAGAAGCCATCAGGATCACAGAAGTCAGTCTGATGGGATATAAATACATGTCATTCCCTTGTTCACTTGGCACAACTTGCTGGCATCATCTCAAGTCTATGGAATGCAAGGGAATATGTGGAATGGGAGGAGAAAATCCTTCAACCTTTTTGCACCTATCACCTCTGAATTTGACGGAAAGGGCATGACAAAATTTATAGATGGCTCCTGGACTATGAAATAAATTTCATAGGTAGGACCACACAATGTCTCGAGGCAGAAGTGACCAGAGACTTCAGCAATAATATTTATATGGAGAACTACATTTTCACTATGTTCATGCCTAAAATAGATGCAAACAGTGGTGAGACAGAAATATGCATAAACTATGAGTATGATTTCAACATCACTCTGGAATAGACATTATGGACACTTGGCTCACCAAGGGAAGCAAATATACACAAAAGAGTGACTTACTGTATCATTATGAGGACATGAAAGATATAGGGGTCCTGCCCAGTACTTTCTGAAATAATGATCCCCTTGCAATAAATGTTCTAGAATCTCATCTCAAAGTTCAGAAAATGAAAACTCATCTCTGGCAATCCAGGGAAGGATTTTAACCTGAGAATACCTATGGTCTTGAAAGTGAAATGTGTATTTTTGCGTTTTTTGCTTGTAGTAATGCCCAAAATAAGACGAGACCATTTGTTTGTTTGTTTGTTTTTTTCTCTGTTCCAGTAGACTTAGGGGCTTCTGAAGTGCACTGTTTCTCTTCAGCATATTTCACAGTATAACCAATGTTTGCGTCAACTTAAATGGTTGTCATTAGATAGACAGAACCATTCAGCAAACAACCAAATCAATTACCAAAGTCCAAAAGCATGCAAAGGTCAAGGCCACTAGACCCGATCTGTCTGTAGGTGCCATACCGGCTGCGCTGCTAAAGGCTCTAATCGCCTTTCAACACGGCAGCCAAATGCGAGTAAATTAAGATCCACTACAACCTGATTCATGCATTCTGACATTCCACTGTAGATCGCCAAAAAATGCCAATCTAACATTAAGAAAACCCAAAAATGTTACGCTTGTTAAAACAGCAGCCCATCCCTAGCAAGCTCCTAGGTTAGACGTAACACAAAAAAATGGGCAGGCTTCGTTACCAGGACTTCAATTCAGTTCTGTCTTGTTCTTGACCTTTAGATATGCTCTGACGTCTAAGCCTCATTACATGACCAACGTGAAGGCACCGAAACAAGACAGATCTGGACTGTGGACTGACCCTCTGGGGGCTCGAAGAAAGGTTGGAAGAAGAAAGCGGTGGAGAAATGCGGTTGAGGATCTTCCGTTTCACTCGCATTCGTCTGATGGGCGGGGAAGCGACGGGCTTTGGGGTTGACTCCCCGTCGGACACCTCCGTCAAGGGAGGAGTCTCCGAGAATACAAACTCGGGCATGGATTCGTCTGGATAGGGATCTTCCACATGGAGAGGGAGTTGTTCTTCGGGATCAGAGGGCATTCCCTTCGTCACGAGGGCAGCCAAGGACATAGCCCGGACTCGACCAGAAAGCCCCTTCAAGAAGTCCGTACAGCTCTGCAATACCCGACTCGTACGACTACCCGGTTCCGTCGTTGGAAGGGGATTACTGCTAGTTTCCGTCAGCCGCGGGTGATACCCCTGGCTGCTATAGAGACTCTTTGTAAACGGTGGGGAATAGCGATAGCGATTGAGACGATGATGCCGCAGCGTCCTAAGACGCCGAGAGGCGGCAGACGTGCTCGAATAATGAGAAAAGGTAGAGGGGTACGATGCCCCCACCCCATCATATGTCGCCGTCGGGTATTTGATCCCGGAAGTCATCTTTTATATCCTATCCACACCATTCCATTCCAACTCGAGCTATAGGAAAGAAGAGAGACCCACCCATCAAAGTTCAGTAAAGTAAAAAAAAATTACGGTATCACGGCATTGTCAGGGGGGATTGAAAGAATCTGAGATAGCACGCGATTCTTGAATAGTGCAACAGAGATCGATATGAGCACACGCTTAGACGGAAGGAGACGGGGAAGGGGGAGGCACACACAGGCAGGGACTCGAGGAACGAACTCGGTGGCAGCTCTAATGCGAGGGAAACGGCGAGAGGGAGCAAGATGGCGCTCCTACAGCTTAGGTTAGCCATACCGCGTCCTAAAAATATCGGCGACGCACCTTCCCTGCCGACGCAATGTGTTGGTGCTACGCTTCCCCTCTTCACGCGGCATGATGGGTCTAAAGCACTGACGAGCTCAGAGAAAGATCCAACGCAGCAAAAAGATAGGAATAAAACCTACAATTCCCTCTCTCAACCAGTGAAAATGGGGCGTTATACAATCTCTTCCAATCGATTCAATGCAGGAAACTGATTCACACGACACCCCTCTTTCTCTTTGTTTTATTTTTTTCCATGGTCACCAACGTATTATTAGGGCATACCCATACCAAGAGTGTCAGTCATCAGGGATCATCTCTCAAAATCGGTCATATCGTAAATAATCAACACTGTCTATGGATATCAACGCAAGCTAATAATTCGTCTTTTTTTTCACCTCCATTTGCATCTTCCTCTTTACATAATCATACTTTTCATACAAATTTCAGTTTGAACAAGCATTTTATTTGAACAGACCATTAACTTTTCGTTGCCACACAATACAATGGTTTGGTGCGTTGGTTTAGAGTTTTTGAGTCAAACATTAAACATGCTTGACAGTTAAGGCAATCGGGGACTGCCGCGTCATTGCTCCCTCGTTGGCTATCCCTGTCCCATTACATTTTATTGTGACTGCCGGTGATGAACCGTGGTTTCCCGCGCCGCACAAAAAAAAAAAACCCAGGCTTACTAAATACTCGAGCGCCAGTCTTGGTGATACATCTGCTGCTGAATTTGTCCCGACGGTTTTTTGCCTGCCAGCAGAATTGGCGCCGTGAACCCTTATAGGCTCGCGTGCCAGAATAAATGGCGCCGCGTGCACTTCTGGCCATGTAAGCCAAAGGTTCGCTGCTGCATCACTGCTGTAGGCTATCCAAACCGTTTCCGCACTGATTAATACCCAGTCACCCGATAATGACTGTGAAGGAAAAAAAAAGTAATAATTGGAAACTTTAACCGCAAGGCATAAAACTTTTTTTTTTTTTTACCTCAAGGTATCATCGAAACTTCATGTCTAGCGCTTTTTTGCCTTCTGGCAATATGGAACTTATTTTTAATTCTCCTACGAACTGCTTTCCCATCTCTCATGCAGTTCACTTTCTGCTCATGACTTCTACAAATCTTCCCATCAAAGCTCATCAAGTGTAAGCGGTCCATAATAAGCACCAGAGCTCCTCCTGCGAGAGCAATTTCAGCAGACGTAATCAGCATAACAGTTTATATTTAAAATAATATTTTCAAAGCTTACTTAGCAATTTCTTCGAAGCGTATGAACGCTTCTGTACGATGCAAAACTTTGGAAAACAGGCATTTTTATAAAACTTATTTGATCGTCGACGCAAGGTTTTACAAGTTTTCTCCGTACTTTCTTAACGTTACGTCTCCCCCCCCTCTCCCCCGAAGAAAATTCTTTATGCAAATGGAAGTATATACGCTGTCGCGATCGGAGAAGTCCAAGTGCCGACTCTCTATAGTTCAAACTAGTGTCTACTTCAGACCACTTACAAATTCTCTAAGCTCATTTATATTTAGCAATCTCCCAAAGTTTAAGCCCTGCATGGCACCTATAAGGATGTTCTTCCTTCTTTTCCATCAATAGGTCCACAGTTATCATTCACGCATATACGGCAAAGCTAGTACAGAGATGAAGATTTGTTCAAGAGGTACTTGAACAAATGAGAACGGGAGATTTCTCACTCCAATTAACTTACTGCAATGTCGTCGCTATTCGTGCCTGCCTTCATTTAAAACTGTATCCAGTACCTTTATCTTCCTCCAAGACTTAAATTCGTCACGAAAATTACGGTTCGGGGATTATTAGCACGCCTTCAGAAAAGTCACAATTGATTTTTCCATGACGCTGAAGCAATCAAGACGTGGGGGAAGGGGTAATCGATTTCAGGTTCAATCAGTCTTGCAATAGGGCATGGAGAAGTATGCCTGTTAAATCTTCCAAGGCAAAGCCGGGCTCTGACGGCATCACTCTGCACACTCTATTTTCCACGTGACTAGTTCGTAATGGATGACGAACTTCACGGCGTCAGTGGGGGGTGGGGTGGAATGACACAGTTGTGGATAGAAAGTTAGCGACGAGAGACGACGGACATCAGGGACGAAGACAGGACAAAAGAGAGGAAACTAGCCTTCAAGGTAAGCATGAAGAACCTATAATGGCTCTGCATGGATGGAAGAAAAAAATCAAAATGCCAGGTGAAAGTTTCTGGTTTTCCTTGAACTTCCCCTGAGTAAACTGCTTGTCCGTCGAGAACGGAGGTCGATCGGTGCATACGTATTGCAGGCTAGGTCTGGACTTGCTGCACCTGTCCTGGCGCGATTTTCTCTTTCTGTTTAACACTGGGATTCCACATGTGAGCATCGCATCCCAAGGTTGAAAAAGAGAATATATGGCACTCATCCAGTGACGTCATGATTCGGAGAAAAGAACCTAAGCAACGAGACACCAGAGGTCAACTATATGCATGGACAATATCCCTTCTGTATGAACTGAATGACTTAACAAACAAAAAAAAGACGTCGGAGTGAAGTAGACAGAGATAGAAATCGGGCCAACCAGAGCGTGCATCCTTCGAGAAAAGGAGAGAAAGACGAGGGAATGGAAGGATGAACATTACTGTTATGTGCCTGGAGATGGCCGTCTGCCAAGGCGTTCAGGGAGGTTTCTTCTACCCCTCTTTTCCTATCAGAGGGAAAAAAAGTGAAAATACCCTAAAATGATCAGTTAACAAATGTGTGATGTTTTCATGTCTGCTTGATAAACACGGACACAGAATCCCTGTATCAGCAAAAGAACCTTCAGTGTCATGATTGGGCGTTCTCTGAGTTAAAGACAGCACACGTGTAACTTATCACGACCACGAGGGGGCGATGTACATCTTCCTTTTCTGTGCTGTATAACATTTTCCCAGCTGGATTTTCTAAACCCCTTCAAGCTGTTTATGGATGACGAGAACATTAGGGGTGGATACCGAATGGGAAAAGGAAAGGAGTTGGGGACTGCTCATTCAATGGCACTTGTTTCCGGGGAAGGGTGGATCTCCCATAAGGATACACTTCCATAACATCGATACTACGGATAGGGAGCTGATGTGGCTACACAAGGCAGTCTCAAGCTGAGAGGAGAGGAGATGAGAGGATGGGAGGAGGAGGGGGAGGGGAGGATGGAGGTGGAGTAGGTGGAGGCAGAGAAGTCAGAGCAGGAAGAGGATTTGAAAGATGACAGACACTGTCAGGAATAGGTGATGTGTTTGTTACTTTGGGAGATTGCTAAATATAAATGAGCTTAGAGAATTTGTAAGTGGTCTGAAGTAGACACTAGTTTGAACTATAGAGAGGAGAGGAGAGAGGAGAGATGAGATAAGATAAGAGATGAGAGGCATACGGTGGGGGAATGCTCCTGTTGAGGCGAGATTTCCCGGGATACGAGTACTTCCTTTTCGCGACTCCGACTATGCACACTACCACATTTTGCTCCCTCGGACATGTTCTATAGCATTCGGGGCTCACGGATATCTCCGCCTCATCCATGGGAAACCCTCCATGTCTGCTAGGTGAGTCCTGGCTGGCTTCCCTTTTCCCCAGCATATGTGCCACAGTGTCGCAGTTAGAAAATGAGAGGGGTTAATTTTAGACGGCCCAATGCCATACGACATGTGAGAGGGGGAACTCCTTTGCCTTTATTCGTATACCTTTCCGGACTCTTGTCTCAGCCAGATTTCCACTTCCCATTTAAAAAAATGTCAATTATGATGGACTGGCATTAAAAAAATGCCTCTCCATCGCACCGCGCAAGCATATCCTTCATCAGAATTCTTGAAAATGAAGCGTATGCCAATGCGGTCGAATCACAGTCATAATTGGTATTTAAGACATGCAGTCTGCAAAAACAGTGTGAAGATCTTTCGAGAACAGAATGATGAATGACCTCCACACATAGTGAGAGCGCCCGACCTATGTCGAAACACACGGTGTTTAAAAAAAAACCCGCCAATACTGCATGTGGATAGATGGAAGGTTTTTGCAAAATTTGAACGATATTGACCCAATGTGTCACGTGCTACACAGTTTAAAAGTTGAAGGTAAAAAAAATGCATAACCTTGCATAACCTTTTACAGGGGGTACAGCAATTATGGAGTATAAAAAATGAGTGTTATACATATTTTAAAAGCTAATTTTGTTCTGATTTCAGATTAGTCACTCAAATGGCTGGGGTCATTTGCGATGACGAAAGGCAACGTGAGATAGACCACATTCGAGCATACGCCTATCGAGAAGCAAGGGAGGCAGGCGCAACGTTTAGCAATTGAAAGTGAATTGCTCATCATTGCATCGCAGTGAGAGATTGAGTTACTGACAACTGGAACAAAGGATACGAATCTTGTTTAAACTAAATTTGGTGCCGACAGACGCGAAAAATTATACAGAGAGCAGAAACATTGTGATGGGGAACAGTGGAAAAAGACGAAGAGAAAAAGCTGCGGTCAAGTTGCAAAAGACTTCTCAAAGAGGTGTGGAAAGATTGTTAATCCGTCAACGATACAACGATACCGTTATCAGGAAAGGAAGGAAGGCTTTAATAATTTGTGAGCTTGGTTCTGACCGAAATTCTGAAGCGGTTGTCCTTCAAAACTTTCAAAATGTTATTTGTGAACTGGAATTTGGAAAATTAAACATAACTTTTAGAAAATTTGTTGAAATTATAGCCTCAACGTTTGAGGGTTGTACATGAAGCCAATGGCGGTCACACAAACTACTGATGCATTACTGTATTCAGGTTAAATAAAGCTTTAAGTTGATATATTACTTACATTTGTTCTATTTGTACTCATGGTTGTACCCCTCTAGCAAAAGGTTATGCAAGACCCTGTACTTGCTGATGCATCCACCTCAGCTGTGTAGCGAACGAGTGTCTGTACGTGTCATACAGAACGGCCAAGGAGGTTAGCTTCCCTGGCTGAGGCGAACGTATCAGCGGGCTTGTTAGGCTCATTTTCTTATCTATCAAGTTTGAACTGGTATAGAACGTGATACAATGCGTCAATTTTCTTCAAATTCGGCACATACTTTCTTTCCTCTCTCTACATGCTGAGTTTAAAAAATTAAGTCGATCAGATAAAAATTTACTATCAATAGCGAAAATGATTTGGCACCGTTTTTTTTTTTAAACACCGTGTACTTATGAAACATGCGGATTCATGAAAGTTAGCAATATCTCACCAATCTTGAAACGCTTAAATAATTCTATGCTAAAAAAAAAAAAACTCCATGCATTTTCAAATGCGCAGCTACATCAATGCAGGAGACCTTAGGCTCCTTCCTACAAAGTTTCGTGTCCACAAAACGTAATAATATACCTAAAGTGCTAGGCGACACTTGTGAAGCAGGGCTAGTGAGATAGTGGGGAAGGGCCAAATCATCGAGTTACATATATAGAATAATGGAAAGCTGAGCCCTACGGAAGACACCACAGAACCTGATGACAAATTGAAGCAGCGCGCAGCCATTATTTAGGGGGCACTTGGGCGTTCCCTACCAAATAGCAGTCATCCAACCGGGGCTGTCTTAGCGGCACCATTCATGGATGTGACTAAATTTCGGTAACGAACAAACCTACCGGCCTGCTCAGGTAGTAGAGCTGTCTAAATAAAGAAGACGGCGACTAGTGAAGGCATGACATAATGTAAGCCCATTTTCCTCGATTACTTTTTTTTTTCGGAGTGGCGATTGGCTTATATAATGAAGGCAAAATGGACCCACCCATGTGGTCATGACACTACTTTGGCATGTGTTGGACTCATGATAAAAGTGAGAAACGATCAGGACTGCTTTCGCGTCTCCTAAAAATAACCGTTTTATCCGCCTACCAAAAGGTGACGCCAAAATGGCCTTTAAGGGAAATCTAATGAGTCTACCGGAGTAATGGCTGCTCTCGACTGCTGGAACAATCAGCTTCGGGTGCAGCGCCTAGACGTTAAGATCTGCACCTCACTCGTGGTTTGGGTGAGTCTGTTGGCTAGGTCTGTAAGTCTTGTAGTTCATCAATCGCTAATGCATTTTTCTCTCCCACGAGTCTGAAAATGACAGCTCAGGGCTAAAAGCCAAAGTAATCATATTTACCCATAGGCCTGGGAATGCATAATGAGCACACTACTGAAGTCTTCCGAATCTCATCCAAATGCGAAAAAGGTCATCAACCTACGAACCTTATTTCTCTCGGAAACAGGAGCACCAGCGTCAAATGTCAAGCACCTTTTTCAGGGCGGTCCAAAACCTAAGTATTATAGGATTTCCCTCTGATTCAACGGAAAAACATTGATCTCGAGTCAAGCCCTCTGAAGTTAATGAGCATCTTATTAAGTATTCCTCAAAAAATATTTCCTTCCTTTTTTTCTATCCTCGGGGAAGCAATTAAATATTCCACGATAGATGCTTGGGAATTCTATTCACGCAGCGAACAGGCCTGCCCCCTTCGACTGTTACAGAAAATTATTTCAAAGGAATTCCTTTGAATGCCCTGAAACCATGAAAAAAAAAACTCTGGAGAAAAGCCTTCATATTCTGAAATCCCTGTGAAATCATAAGGGAGAAAACTCCAACCTCGGTGAATCATTTTTTCTGAGACGATTCTCGGAAAACTTTTGACCTGGCTACGCAGAAACCCTTTCTTCTGGGAGTAGCTACGCCCGTACGTGCAGCTATCCATTCTTATATATATGTAACTCGATGGATTTAATCGTGTTAGTAAGGGCAGGGAAGCAGTTTCCTCAAGAAATGGCAACGATATACGATCTGTAATAGCAGACCTTGAAAGTATACCCAAAGGGCGGAAACCATACATTGGGATAAATGTACAGTATATGTTACGGAAAAAAGATGGATTCAAGAGCTCCCGCGACGCCAGTGCCACTTGGCACACTAGGAATATAATTATGCTCTACGATTGCCATTCGAGTCAAGGGTGTATCTAAACTGGAACGCTAATCAAACATAACGTTAACGCTACTCGAACATGATTTCGATAACAGCCTAAAGGTTAATACCGTAATTAGGCTTCAACTAGGATTGATTAATCACATTGCACCAACATCGTGAACCTGGGTTTTTCCAGTTCATAGCGGTAGGAGGGGTTCTTCAAGATGATAAGAACTGCAAATCTTAGCTTGACTAAAGATAGATTAAACTTTTAAAAAAGTCTGTAGAATTTGCTTAGTTGATTGAAGCTCGCGATGCTAATGGCGTGGAATAATCCACAAAAACTAGAGTAAATGAACAGCAAGAGCCTTCACATCACGTCTTGTAGAAACCTCAGGAGGTTCCTTCATAAAGGCGATTGTCCCAAACATCCACCTTACCGAATTGACGTGTGAAATATTGAAGACGAGGTGACGAGGAGATGAACCTGTTGAAAGATAGCACAAGCACAAGCCTCGACCTACCTTAACCTACCTACATAGCCTAAACTTAATAGCAAAGATCAAAGGAAAGGCAGGGATCCACAATCCACATGCAAAGGATGTTGGATGCCAGCCCCTCCTGCAACTAGTTGTTCCCTGTGATAGGATCGGAACGCGGGACACTCACCGAGATCGGGGAGGAGGAATACCGGTGATAGCGACGTTTGGAGCTGTGATGATGATCTCGATCCCGGTCCCCGTGATGATGCCGTGAGCGACGCCTCCGACGCTGATGCCCCGATCGGGATGGCGACGAAGGGGAGCGGCGCTGACTACGCCTCCGACGATGCTCTCCGAGCGATCCCTCATCCCCACGATGATCAGCGCGATCGTGGCTGCATTGAATGTTAACAACATCCCCATGCCTCATGCTACTTCGCGAACAGATAGGTTATTTGCTTCGTACCATCCAAGGGGTTCTCGGCCAGTTTTATGGTTCCGCGACCTAGATGTGTTCGCATTTACCTCGCGTTGGCTACATTATTTCATCCCCTTTTCGAAGCTCTCCACATGAGAGACTAAAAAAAAGACAATGCGGCTGATCGTTACGGATAAAAAAATAAACGGTGCAATAAAAGGATTCGCCATGCTCTTTGTGAACTGCCAGTCACCCTCGGGCGCAATCTCATCTGCCCAGCAGGACATCGAAGTACGGAGGAGGAATTAAGATGGTAATGTTATGGAACAATAAAGAGAGAAAAACATAGCAGGCACGCAAGGAGAGTAGAAGATGACAGGGCTCCAAGAGGAGGCGTTTGTCATAGAACAAAGGGAGCAGCTGGTACTTACGCCCTTATCGGAGTGATTTTATAGGGGGACCCAGCAAAGGCGTAGGGCTCCCAAGGGGCTGTCTATAAAAACGATGCCGACTTCTAGGCTCTAACAGGGCTAAGAGGAAAAAATTGCTCCTTTTCCAGGGCCATAAGGAGAAAGGAGGATAGCGTGCGAAAAGAATGGAAGAAAGGGAATCCGAGGGAATGAACGGATGAGACCCTGCGTGCCGCTGCCATCTGAGGCTAAGGCACGGAATCAATAACGTCATGTTCATCTTTCCCTCTCCTCCTTCCTCCAGGCGCACCGATATGCACAATGAGAAATGGGACACGAAAGAAAATCACTCAAGTGCTGATTTCATCTTCATTTGAGGGAAGCTCTGATCTTGATGCAGAACTGGCGAAATGCCAATAGAGGGTGCAGGATAACGGGGGATGGGAAGTAGAGACCGTTTCGAGATGGATAACTTGGGGAAACTCAACCAAGCGCAAAAAGAGGAAATGCACTCTTTGCAGCAATCTTCGCTCGACCAAACATTACTCTAGGGACATACAGTGTTATCACTTCCAGCTTCATGGAAATCCTTGTCCTATCAACCAATCCCGACATAGCTCCAGACAAAATATTAAAAACCGCCTAACGATGGCCTGAGCAGCATTAAGATGCAAGGGGTCCCAGAATTAACTATATTATAATTATTTATAATAATAAAAACTTGTTCTTCAAACACCTGAAGCAGAAATTACGCAACGTGTCCACTCTTCAGATATTTATTAATTGTTAGATGAAAGCAGGGTTATCCTGTTTATCAGGACTTCATTTTCAACTGATGACTGACTTTCAATTCTGTTATTCCTCTAATTATTTACGATTCGACTCTTGGTTACATCCCTCTTTAAACTAAGGAAGAATGGAAATTCTATTAGAGAAAATTTAAATATACCTTTCCAACAAAAAAAAACCTAAGCGGTGGAGGCAAAGAAAGGAGAAAGCGTTCGCCCGAAAAGATCCCGAGCCCCAAGGCTGTCTGGCCCTTCTTTGCTCTTCTCTCACACATCCCCATGACCCTATCTCATCCTCGTTCTTACAAGGGCGCACTAATCAATCAGAAAAGGAGGGCCATGCCTCGAGTGCGGCTCAGGATTTCGGGCGATTTTCTCTTACTCAGCCGATATACCCCATCGCTCAGGTTTTTTTTTGGAATGGTATATTAACCTACGTCAGAAAGTTTAGAACCTTTCGGGAACTTTTAGATTCGGGAAGATCGCATCAGAGCAGAAATGAAAGCATTCCTCAGATCTTGCTGTGGAGAGTCTTTGCATGCGTTGGGCTCCTGGAGCATAATGTGTAGACAATGAAATGGACGTTGAGGCTGTCTGATTTAAGAGAACAGCCTTTTCTCAAAAATTTCTTCAGTCGAATATAGTCGTACCCATTAATATCAACTGCAAAAATGATTACGTTATGAAACGGTAAAGTGAACTTCGGGATATCCAGCACAAATACTGTAGAAGGCGGCCCAATGAAAGTTTCAGTTTCAGTATGAATAGAAGTTACTAATAGCATGACATGCACAAAGTTTTAACTTAGTGACCAACGACATTAATACAATCTTGGTAGCGGATGGGAACAGAACAGCACACATTGTTGAAGGCATCACGTTCAATTAGGAGACATTCAACCAAATGAAATTAAACTTAACTACTACCTTCTGGGCCACCATGTGCAATGGAGCCTATGGAATAGGATTTCGTGATGGAGCTCTGATGACGTAGGTTCGACGTAGGTAGGCAAAGTTCTCAGCAAAACTGAGAAGAATTGCAATGTAGAAACTCGGCTGCATATCGATCAAGCCTGGAGATTCTTTATTTCTGGATAACAAAAAACCTCATTTCCCCACCGATTAGGGGAAAACGGAGCACAAGGAAACCAAGTATCAGGCGATGCGACCTCATTGCATGCTCCAATTCAGCCATTACAGGTGTGCATTCAGCTTTTTGGAAGAAATTCACCACCAGGACGTGCTTTTGAAAAGGGTTCAATATCTGAATTGTTCTTGTCGCACCTAGGGAATGATGTATCTTCATTCGCGTGGGTTAGTCGTAAATCAGGCTGAGCAATCAACCCTAGACTTAATCCCTTTGGAATGGGGATGAAGTGCAGAACCCTCTTCAAGAACACAATTAGATGCGTTTAATTAATGATGAGACTGTTGAGGGGAAGACGGTAGAAGGAGAAAAACGATCGGAGCTAGCTGTCCCTGTCTGCTTGCTAAACAAGGCTGTTGTGGGGAGTTTTGTTAGAGACTCGTGTTTATCTTGGCAGGGATTCCTAACTGCCTTCCGGTCCTGCTGCTCCCTGACCCACCCTTCTCTCCCCCCCCCCCCCCCTCTCTGTGGTTTCCTTTTTTTCTTTCATGACCAAGAAAAGGTCAAGAAACAGAAGTCTCGATTTCCCAACAGAGACGGTTCTCAATGAGATTCTGAATCCATAGTGCACCTTTGCAGTCAAATCCAAAAAGACAAATGAAACCTACTGCTATCCGCACCGTTGAGCAGGAAGATTTTGAATGCAGATTCCCGTCACTCGCTCGCGATGCAGTGGGGAGTCCTCCGTTTCGGTTACACAACAGACGCACAACATCGCAGAAAGAAACGCAGGGAATGAGGAAGACCCCATTTTCAAAGGAAGTTTCGGGAGATATGGTCGTATACCCAGTATCACTCCAGCTTCTTAATCATAGAATACAGGTCAATAACAGCAAACGAGGCGGGCTCCTGCGGAAATGTGCTCCTCACCCCTAACTTCCGACCGAAGGAATTCACTCTTACAACGAAAATTCGTTGTTTTCGCGGTCACCCCCCCCCCCCCCCCCCCTTTACCACTCACTTCCAGTTAGCAAGCGTAGGACTCACCGTCTGCACTTGAGCCAAGTGGGACAGCAGAGGACTTCGAGGGAAGAGTATTGAGAGAGGGTGGAGGAGCCGGAAGAAGCAGAGGAATCAGAATCAGAATCCAAATGATTCCGGCTCCACCGACATTCTTTGGGACCAGGACCCACACAAGGGCTGCCTCTTGACTCCACATTTAATGGCGGGTCCGCAGCCCCGCACATTCTCTCATTATATTCTCATCATCTTCACTCGTACCTCCCCCCACAGATGGCATCCTTCACCATTAGGAATCCCTCTCTCATCCCCGATAAGCACTCAATGGAACGTGCTGCGTTGAACTCGTTAGGCAGATTACGAAACAGCAGGTTCAGACCATCATGAATGGATCTAAAAAGGAACTACAAATTGTGAAACCCCCATATTTGTGTGGAAGAGCCTTCACTTTGATGGGAGGGGTGAGGGAAAGCGCGCGATGTTCCTGAAGTCTCATTCGATGACGTCGATGTGATCGAAACGTTCGCTCATTCCTACTGTGAATTACGAATGGACACCTTACATGCTATCCCTCGTGGGGAAGGCCGGACTACAACAATCGTTCTATGCCCGCTTCGACACAGGAAAAACGAAAACTAGCACACATCCACAGGTAGCCGCCTGACAGAAACTTCACCCCTCTTCGCCAAATCAAACAAATGTCGAAGATAGGTGAGTAAAGGCAGGGCGCACGAATAGAGACGAAGCCACATTAGCAGAATAATGAGCTGTCTGGCGTGTGCAGAGTTAGCTCCAAACAAGAGGAAGAGGAATGAGAGAGCGGGAGAGTGAGTATGTAGAGATACAAGCATTGCAATCACCCGAGATCCTCTCCAGATAACTCCAGAACAATGAGCCTCAACTGTTGCATGCTTCCTTTTCCAACTTATCGTCACTTATGTCAAGCGCTCGGGGGAAAAAAGCCCTATTGCAAGCCTTATCTGGGTCTGATACCCTGTGGAACTAAAGGAAAACATAGTGAATTCAGCTTCACACGACATGAGGACCGACGCCACACTTCAATTACAGTCATGAAGGGAAAGGAAAAAAGGGACCCTCAGGAGTTGGTCTATTAAAAGTGCTTAATGAAGAGTCATTCCATCTCTCCTCGATGCTAACGAGGTATATGTATGAAGTGGCAGGCAAGATGATCAATATGGAATAGGCCGCCTCTCTTTCACACAAGAGTCGGATGCCTCAATGCACGTGACGGCACATGAAAGGAGAACATAAGACCCAGTGCATATAATGCAAAGAAGGGAAGATTAAGTAAAATATCGAAGGAACGTTCCTCCTTAGCTCAACAAGAACAGAAGGGAGGATCTGCTCAATCAAAGAATCCCCCCCTTTTTCCCCATTCCCCTCTTGACAGGGAGGATTTCCCCCAGGACATATACTTTCATCCTCTTTCCTTCCTTCTCGATTTTCAGCCACTTGGTAGTCTTTTGCAAGATGAAGGACACTTGCATCTCGATCCGAGCAAATAGGTACAAGCTCTCAGTCAAATAGGCAGACTACCAAAAAATTTTGCAAGAAATTGGTAGATTCCTCTTGGAAATCAGAGCAGAGCCGATGATTCGATTTGACGCTGGAGAACCTCGGGCAACACTCTGGCAACGATTCCAGGAAATTGGATTCAGCCAATCCAATAGCTGGAGTCCTTTTCTTTCATTACGCCGTATGCTGATTTACTTCGTCTCATGCTTCGACAGCGAAGGGAAAGCGGAAACGAGGCGCGCGTATGGAGACCTCCGCTGAAACCTTCGAAATGGCAGATAGCTGCATATTCCTCCCACGTCGGTTCGCGATTCGGCCGTGCGTCGGTTCAGCACACTCAGCCTTCAAAAATTCCAACACGAATGCATCAATTTCTCATCCAAACCAACTCCAGAAAAATAATCATCACCCACTCTGTGGTGCAACTGGAATCGCCTTTCATATTATTACCAATACGAGGTTTCCCATGGCAAGGTCCATCATTACTACTGAACCATGCAATAAATGGAAAAAGCAACCTATGTACTGATGGTATGACTCTGCTTCTAACCACTGCCGAGGCGAACAATGATGGATTATCTCAATTCCAGAGCCATACACTCAATTCCGCCTACCTCATATGGAAAGGCCAGTCATGGCAAAATATCGAATCGTTCACACTTCAACAAAAATAATAAAGGAAGCAAAAAATGCTCAAGAACAGCGTCCAAGAAACCTCAACGCCTCCACCTTCTTCATTTGTTCCGCATGCCAGCGTGCAAAAAAAAAAGAGCGAAGAATATAAATTGAGTCGTTAACAGCCACAAAACCGCCCCAGTGCGATCTGCTGATATATATGCGAGGTATAAAGGCGCGCATAACATGCAGGCCATCGACAAGGCAGAGAAGAATGCAAGGGCTGGCGGTCAATCAGCGCGACCCTATTGTTAAGAAAAGTGATTTGTATGACGGAACACGAGCCTTACTCAGCACGTTTCAAGCCAAGCGACTCCTCCCAAAGAAGAAACGGGTAGACCTTGCCTGGTCCAGAGAAGGAAGCAACAATTCCCAGTTGTCGTTATTACGCAATGAAGTGTAGCATACATTCATATCGAGGATAACCTTTCTCCTGCCTAAAAAGGCAGGCGGCAGGACGTGGCTCTCGCTCATGGTGAGCCGAAGGACGACATCTGATAGGTACAGTTGCACACCATGGACAAAAAGTAATTTTAATTAGGACGCTCACCTATTTAGAAGTCGTTCCGGTCTTATATGGGGCAATCATTACGTGGCTCATTCTGACCCCAACTTGTCGGGCTTCTTGCTACGCAAGATTACATCCGCAACAAGACATCTAGGATAATTCATCCGATACGACGATGAGCCATCGTGAGTTGTTCTAATCCGGATACTGAATCTGGTTTCATCACAACGGTAACTAAACAACGATCCAAGATTGCATGCTCAGTCTTATTCGAAGTGCAATCGATGTGTACGCAGGCTTCTGCTAACAAAGGACTTCGACTGAAGACGGCGAAATGGCGAACTGCATGGAAAAGAATATTGTGGAAATCTTTTCTCCATCGCCATATCAAAGGAAATACAAACCTGTAACTGACCGAAATTGGTACTCCCACAAAAATACCCAATAAAAAACATCGTGGAAGATTAATGAAAGGTCGAATGTCGCACTGTTAAACGAGAACATGAAATCCATTTCAGCAGGATGGGGATTGAGATGCGTATGCTCTTCGTCTTCAATACACTTTCAAACCAGTAAAAAGCAAAAGCATTCCCGAGTGCCACAACTCAAGGCTATCAGGGCAATGACGTTTGTGATCGATATGATCAGGCAGGTAGTAAAAGCCACAGGTATGTAAACTATGACGCTCTTAAATCCTGGTGAAATAGTGACACAAGTACTGGCGGTGCTAAGCAACAAGCGACACATAGGATGAAGAAGCAACTTCGACTTCCAATGCTTCATTGGGAGCTTCGATTCGCAGCAACAACAAAAAAAATTCACCATGCAATGATAAGATTTGAAGATTACGTTCTCTCATTATTTGACTCTCTTAACCCTCAGTGCTGAGTTATGTCCAGGCGAGCAGTGCGCTCGCCTGGACTGCCACTGACTGGAGTGACTGGAGTGCCAGTGCTTTTTTTTTTAAGCTTCGCAAGGGGTGCGTCGTTCATTCCAAAATTTCTACGCTACTCTAAACTTTTAGGATCATCTAGCGTGGAAAGCGGGTAGCAGGAAGAAGCTAGAGGTGTGTCCGTTTCAGCCCGCGTCATTTCAAAACAAACCAGTATACTGGGCAGTCGCACAGTGAACACGAAACGCTGTTGTTCAGTATATTAGACGCCAGCACTTTAGGGGTTAAGAAGGGCGTGACAGTGAATAATAAAACTATGTTCCATTATTTTTATATCATAATTCTTGGTCCCTATTACATTTTCGAGTCGGTTTTAAAATGGAATATGACATGGGAGTAGATGGAGAGAAGATTTAATTGGTCAAATCTCCTTCAATATGCATCCTGAAGGTGCAGGTCATCATGCAAGCCAACTAGCCTGGGCAATGAAGGGCACGCCGTCAAATATGCTTCGAGAGTGGCTACGAGTAGTAAGGTGATATGGAAGGAAAGGCGAAACCGGCCTATGAAACGAACGAGCACTAGACACCGGAAAAAAAGCTAGTCGTCCTTGCAGAAGATGCAGGAAGTCGAATAAAAGACAACCCTTTCTCTCCGCGTGCAAAGAGGGCGGAAGTGCGAGAGGCAGTGACAATCCTCCCCTTTTTCATTTCGTAACATTTCAAGAGCACGAGTGGGAGCCCTGAGTGAATTAAGAAGGGTGAGGCCATTCAAGGGCTCCAGTACGTCCTCGTCCAGCCAGTATGGGATGATACCGTTCCAGGGTCAGCCATACATCTTTCAACGCGTTTGGTCCAGTTTATTGATACCACTCGACCCTAATTCAAGCCAACTCAAATGAAATGATACAAGGAATCCGGATAGGACCACGTCATCGACTTCAATCAGGAATTCGAAAAACCAAACCCTAAATGCCAGACCTGCAGCACGTGGCTGGATAGACTATTGACATCTTGAGTGACCAAGAGTGGCACATTACTGATTTCCATACATACCTCGTAGCTTTAACATAGGGTTCTGTTAGAAAAACAGTATGGCTCTGTCGGTGATTTTCGTCAAATATTCTTCATTCATTATAATACCCCATCAGTACTTAATATCAGGACTTAATATAAAGAACAATGTGCCCTCTTTGGCCACTCAGTATACGAGAGGCAATCGAAAAGTTTTTAGATTTACCCGCAGTACTTCTATTTTCATGATAGTAACGCACTTCAAAGCATTCTCTATCGTTGACAAAACACTTCTGCATTCTCTCAAACCACTGCCGGAAGCAGCCGGCATATTCGATGCCAGCCTGAGCCTTTGCTCCTTCAAAAATTCTTAGGTAACGAGAGCTTTGAGAGCGCCAGCATTGTGATGGTGCAGCGCGAGACGCTGAAGGTGGCGCTCCCTTTGCAAAGCTTTGAAGACAGGAAGGGAAATCTTAACCCATTCAATGTTGACGTTAACACGTCAAGCTAACACACAGCGAGTAAAGTCATGACGTATTTACACGTCACGTAAGCAGTGAGTGGGTTAAAATACTGCCTTACAAGTCCATGTTGCTCCATCAA